TGCCAGGCTTTCTGTAGGCACAGGAACAAAGCTGCACCTTTGCAGGGTTTTGACCACTACGACTTCCTGGTATGGTGCTGGGGGATAAAAGCACTGGACCGCAAGGTCGGTTTGAACCTCAAGGTCAGCGGTTCAGACTCACCAGTTGCTCCTTGGAAACCCTATACACGGTCACAATGGGTCAGAACCGACTCGAGGGCACTTAACAACAACAAAGATAGTAAAGACAGCAAGTCCCAATCCCTGGAACTTGTCTGTCATTTTATACATGGTGAAAGAGTCCACTCACCCTTACACTGCAAAAGATGTGACTCCGTCAAGGATCTTGGCTGAGGTTGTGCGGGATTGCCCAGTGGCCCTATATGCCACACAAGTGTCTGTATGAGAGTTGGGGAGGTGTAGACACAGAGGCAGAGTTAGAGGGGAGCAGCCAGATGGCCACCGGAAGCTGGGAGAGACAAGGACCATATGAGAAGAGCCAGTGATTCCAGAAGCTTGGAGCCCGAGCAGCTAGGGTTGGGGGTGCAGGTAACAGCAGAGGCCGCTGTGGTGAGCTGTGTTGTTTTTGTTGTCTTTCAGTCAACCCCTCGTACAGCAGAACAAAGCGTTGCCAGTCCTGTGCCACCTTCACGATCCTCCCTGTGCTCAAGGTGACTGCTGTAGCCACCGTGTATCTAAGTACCTTCCAACCTAGGGGCTCGTTTTCCAGCACTATATCGGACAGTGTTTTCCTTGGCTAATTTTTGGAATTTGCCAGGCCTTTCTTCCTAATCTTAGTCTGGAAGTTCCCTAAAACCTATCCCTAGGAGTGGCCCTACTGGTATTTGAAATATCCTTGGTATAGCTTCTGGCATCATAGCAACCCAACACACAGCCACAGTACAGCAGACTAACGGCCTTACTGTTGTTGGTAAGTTCTGTCAAGTTGGCTTCTACTCATAGCAACCCTGTGTAGGGTTTCTGAGGAGCAGCTGGTGAGCTTGAACCACCAACTTGGTGGTTAACAATCTGTACTTATTTTATAGTGCCATACCAGGACTTCTTATTGTTAAGGGCCGTCGAGTCAGTTCCGACTCATAGCAATGCCATATAGGGTTGCTGAGGAACTGCTGATGGGTTTGAACTGCTGACCTTGTCGTTGTCCTATAGTGCTACACCAGTAGTGCACACAGAACCCCTTCAAGGTGTTAAATTAAGAGTGCCCCTGGTACCCTCTCAAAGTCATAACCCTGCAGTGTCTTGGGCACATGAGTGGGCTTGTCTCCATCAAGTCCTGGCAGAGTTGCTAGGGAGACCTTGGAGCTCCGTGCCCTGAGAAGAGAGTGCTACCCGCAGCCCCACGTGCCCTCTACCGGGTCAGCCTTGGACTGTGTTCCCAGTGACCAATTTGACGATTTCATTAGAAACCAAAGAAATGTTCTCTTTTTTTCTTTTTTTGGCTGTAGCAGTTGGTATCCCTGCCTCCTTTAATACATGAGGCTCAAAGAGTCCTTGGACAGGAACTGAGTCTGAACTGATCAATGGCATTTGGGGGTTGGAAAATTGCTCCGGAGCCAAGGAATTTATAATGTCATCTAGGCTAGACTGGCGCACCCACGAGGATAGGCCGTCTCTGGTCTCTGGGCTTTTTCTGTCTTCCTTTTTGAAAAGGAAGAGAGAAGTCCACACACTCAGTGGCTCCTGGCCCACTTGACAGTCTGAGACAGTTTCTTCTCCCCCCCCCCCCTTTTCCTTTCTACACCCCTGGCAGCCTGGACATCACGTCCTCTGTCCTTCCCACTCTGGATGTCCGCTGCTGTGGCTGCTGCCGCACTCCCGCCTCTAACTCATTTGCCAAGGACACCTGTTCCTTAATTAGCCCGGCGCTGGGCCTCTGTCTTCGTCTGGGCTCCCTCTGGTGCCTGAGGCTCGTTCCCCTGGCAGGACTGCTGCTTGGCCGTCTGTACATCTGTGCTGTACCCTGAGTCTGCCGAGTGGTGCAGTCAGTCTGGGCTCCCGAACATGAGAAAGAAAACACCTCCCCTCCCGGCCACCACCCAGCCATGACTACCACAGCTGTCTGCTCTCCTCCATGCCTGCTCCCCACTCACAGGGAGACCTACCTCCTGTCCCAGAACTGGCTCTGAGGGTCCCAGGCAGGAGTGAGCCTCATTCTGAGTTCCTGTAGGTTCAAGCTCCCCATGGCTCATCGGCTCCAGGCTTACATCTCCTGGTTTACCTTTTCGAGGTGTGATGTGGTAAGGATACCATCTTTGGAGCCCCATCCTATAGGGTTTTTGAAAAATGGGGCCTTGTGCCATGCTGTGGTTAGTTTCGGCAAGTCGGATCAGACTCATGGCACCCCCTACATGTACAGAGTAGAACTGTGCCAAGGGTTCTCAAGGCCGTGAGCTTTCAAAAGCAGATCATGAGGTCTGCCTTCCAAGCTGCCTCTGGGTGGGTTTAAACTGCCACCCTTCTAGCTATTAGTCCTCTGCTTGGTTAATGGCCCTTTGCCTAGAAGTGAGAAGGAGAAAGTGCCCCGGGCGAGGAGTAGGGTGCAGGCATTACTGTCTGCAGCAGCGGAATTCTGTCTGTGGGGATGGTTCTGTGATACCACAGCTCGCTTATAGTTGGCCCTTCTAAACATCAGCTCTTAGTTACCCCAAGATGAGATCTGATCTCCCAAGCAAGCCACCAGCCAGCCCGGGAAGGGGGGGGCAGCTGCACTTTCCACTGAGACTTGGAGGGTTCCATGCCCGAGTCCCAGGTGCTCTGGGAATCATGGGTCAGGAGTCCAGCTTCCAGCAGGACAGTAATCTGGGGACTTTTGTGGTAAATGGCTTGTATTTCTTCTTCCCCTGTCACCTCCTCTCCCATCCTTCAAAAGGGAGAGTCGTCAGCGGAAAGTCGCTTGAAGTGGTAATTTTCCTAAATGACTTACGGGTGGTACTGCATACAGAAGATTCCTCAGTTCACCTCCCGGTCCTCTCCCTGAGCCCTTTCTGTCTCCCAAAGAGCCCTTTCTGGGCCCTGCCCACCCCCTAAGTCTGCTGGAGCCGTTGTCTCCCCCCTCTCCCAGCAGAAGCAGGACTGATCCTGAGCACCCACTCCCCCAGCAGAAAGCACTGCTTTCCAGAACTCCCCCAGCCCTGGCGGCTGCCCAGAGGCCCCACCCACCCCAGCTAATTAGAGCCTTCTCCTCCGGGCCCTTCAGTCATGCGTGTGCACAGTGATAATGGACTTGGATCAGAGGTCACAGCCTCTTCACATCCTGCTCCCATACCCAGCCCCCCTGCCAGCCCGCCCCTCACCTCACGGGGCCGCCCCACACAGCTGCGACCTCCAGTTCCCCTAGATCACAGGGCCAGAGCCCTGCTCCCCAAAGTGGGTCCGTCTAACCCCCAGCCCCCACCCTGCACTGGGCTCCTGGCCAGCTGCCCGGCTTCTCCTGCGTGTGTCATTAGCATTAACGTGATAAAATGGTCTGTGTAAATGTTAATAAGGTCTGAAACCTCTCACTGCTTCCTGGTGGCAGATTGGAAACGGTACCATTATCTTAACTCCAACATGCAGCTTTTAATGCGTCTGCTCCCTGCGCAGTCAACTTAGCACGAAAACCCTGCCCCTTCCCCAACTACCCCGCCTCATTGCCGTGCCATGCTTTCCTGCATTCTGTATTCTGTTTGCAAAGAGGGTTCCCATCTCCCCCACCCCCGCCTCTGCAGGTTGTCAGAAGTGAGCGCGTCCCTGTTCTCCAGATTTCTCTAAACATGACCGTTTTTCTTGTCATCTTCGTCAGCTGCCATGGAATCGGTCCCCTAACTCATGGCAACTCTCCGTACAAGGGGATCAGACATGGTGATGGGTTTTCATTGGCTGGCTTTCAGAACTAGATCAGACATGGTGATGGGTTTTCATTGGCTGGCTTTCAGAAATTGATCACCAGGCCTTTCTTCCTAGTCTGTCTTTGTCTGGAAGTTTCACATCATAGCAACCGCAGAGAACCATAGACATACAGGTGGTAACCGCACACGAAGTGCGTTGGCCAGGAATCGAACCTGGAACCTGGGTCTCCTACATGGAGCTTGAGAGTTCTGCTGCTGAGTTGACACTTCACCCCCCACGTCTCCTTCCTTTCCCTTGTTGTTAAGTTTCATCACGTCAGTTCCAACTCGTAGCTGCCCTATATAGGGTTTCCAAGGATCAGCTGGTGGATTTGAACCACCAACCTTGTGGTTCAAACCAACTTGCAATCCAGTGCTTATCCTACAGCACTACAGCAGCTATTTCCCTGAGTGGTTGGCCCTCTTGTTCTCTAGGCTCCACCCTCTCTTGGTTGTTGTTAAGTACCTTCTAGTGGGTTCCAACTCACAGCGTTTCTGTATAGGATTTCCCAGAAGTAGCTGGTGGGTTTGAACCACCGATCTTGCTGTTAGCAGTCCACTGCTTATCCTACTGGGCCACACCAGGACTCTTTAAGAAAGCTGAAAATACTGCAGGTTGCCAACACCCTGGGTGATCAGCCTATTCCTTGGACCCGTTAACCGTGTGTGTCCTGCTGTGGGACTCTTTGGGGTTCCCGTGCCCCCTCCTCCCAGCTGGACTGTGAGGGGCAGGCCAAGGCACATCTTCTGTTGCTTCTGTAACTTCATGCTCCTGCCTCGGATGTGATCTGTCTTCATCCCCAGCTCAGTACTGGACACAAGGGCATTCCTTAAATGTTCGCTGAGAAACACAGAGTGATGTGGGGAGGGGTGTGGATGACACCCCAGGATGATGCCTGGGGCTCACCTGGAAAGCTAAACAGACTCAGAATGTCAGGGAAAGCGTGGCTCTGAAGTTCTTGTTCCTCTGACGTTTGACCTTGTCCAAGGTGACAGACACTGTGTGACCCTGGGGGGCCTCCACTTATCCAAGTGCATAGCTGAGGCTAGACTGGGCCTCAGCGGTAGGTGGGCTACACCGATGACCCGCACTGCCCACCTGTGCCTTCCCTCACTCTTGTTTCCCTCACCTAGGCCATCTTCACCATCCTCCTCGGACCCTTCACCTTCTTTGATGTCCAGAAGACCAAGTACCTGCAGATCCTGACGTCTCTCATGAGATGGATCGGTGAGTCTGAGAAGCGTCCGACTCTGCCCTTCCTCCCGTGTCCCTCGTGAACCTTACCCGCTGAGGCCGTGTGAGGGCCCAGCCACAATGGGAATGTGGTGACGGGTCCCTGTTGGCTCGAGCCTGGCTGGTCCATCCACCTTCCACAAGGCAAGGAGGTGGCAGGTGGGGAAATTTAGTGTCACTCAAAGGTAAGCACTCTTCAAGGTCACAATATGAGGACTAAGGGGGGGCACTAGAAGCCGGCAGCCGCCTCGTTCCCATAAGACCACGCTGCGTCGCCAAGGAGCCATAAAAGCCACTGGGCCATAGGGGCAGCCACTCAGCCTCTACGCCCCTGGCCACCAGGGCATGACAGGACTCCCGGTCCACAGTGCAGTGAAGCCCTGGTATGTGGGGTCTCTGATTGCTAACAAGGTGTACTGCAGGGAGCTCCTTCACCCCTAACTGCCCCAGGGAGGGGACCTGAAGATAGGAGGGCATGGGGGCCCTGTTGCCCTCTCAGCCGGCCGACTGGGAACAGCCAGATGCTTGTGTTGTGTGGTGTTCAGGCCAGGACTGTGGGTCCATGAGGTCTGTCCACCATTAGTGGAGGGAAAGCCGAGCTTGAGCTCACCCCTCCTGACGCTCCCCTAATGGGTGCACCCCTCACCACTCCCCTCAGCACAATGGGTGTTCTGGCCCCAGTGACTCCCAGTTGTGGCATTTCCACATCCCTCCAGTTCCTGGCCCTCAGGATTATAAGGTCCCCGCCCAAGGTGCCACACCTGGGGGGTCTAGGCACCTTCATTGGGAGGGGCTATCGGCATCATCTAGCTCAGCCCCAGCTCCCACAGGAGCAAGCTCTGCAACATGACCCCCCCCCTCCTTAGGACACTCCCTCCTTAGGTCACTCCCTCCTTAGGACACTCCCTCCTTAGGTCACTCCTTCCTTAGGTCACTTCTCCCATTCTCAGTGCTTACTTCCAGGCAGATGAGGGTAGGACTGAACTAAACTGTGAGTCAGCTCTGAGACAGGCCACCTCAGGAGCACTTGAGCCCTGAGGCCTCTGTAGCTGATGTCAGCGGGAGCAGGGGCACCCCTGCCTCGTTACCTGGATGGTCTCTGTTGTTAAGTGCTGTCAGGTTAACTCCTACTCATAACAACCGCACGTCCCTCCTGGCCCTGCGCCCTCCTCACAGTTTTTGCCGCCACTGTGTCAGTCCCGCTTGTTGGGGGTCTTCCTCTTTTTCCTTGACCTTCCACTTTACCAGGCATGATGTCCTTTTCTAGGGACTGGTCCCCCTGATAGTATGCCCAAAGTACTTGAGACGAAGTCTAGGAGCGTTTTTGCTATCCTCCCAGGACAGACTTGTCCAGTCTTGTCGCAGCAGTCCTGGTATGTTCAGTATTCCTCACCAACACCATAGCTCACGTTTAGCAGTTCCCCTCTGGCTTCCTTATTCACTGTCCAGCTTTCACATGCATATGAGGTGATTGAAAATACTGTGGCTTGGGTCAGGTTCACGTTAGTCCTCAAAAGAGACATCCCTGCTTTTTAACACTAACAAAAGAGGTCTTTTGCAGCCGATTTGCCCAAAGCAGTAATACATTCTTTCATTTTTGACTATAGCTTATTAGGCATGGGTTGATTGTGAATCCAAGTAAAATGGAATCCTTGACAACTTCACTGTTTTCCTCTGGACAGTAGTTGGATAAGGAACTGTGGGCTAAGCTAACCACAAAATCTATGGTTCAAACCCACCAGCCACTCTCCAGGAGAAAGATGAACCTGTCTACGCCCATAAAGAATTAAAATCTTAGAAACCCTAAAAGACAGTTCTAGTCAGTCTTACAGGGTTGCTTGAGTCAGAGTTGACTTGGTGGCACTGGATGTGGTTTTGGGTTTTGCTGGTACCTGGCTGGATAGAATTCATCCTCTCCCCCACTGAGTTGGTCATGGGCATTGGTCCCACATCTTCCCAAGTCCCAAAGCATAGGTTACGTGACCATCAGGGGTAAAATGAGAACTCATCTGGCCAACAAAGGCCCACACTAACCCCAAGGACAAAGAGTTGAATGGAGACTTCCCAGTGTGAATGGGTATTAGCAGGTATCTTGTTGGTGTCCAGGGAGCACAGGTACCAGCATCTCCCTTCTGTGTGTCTACTCCTGGTGACCTTCAAGAGGGAGTGTCTGGAGAAAAATGTCCACCCTCCTTGCTTCCCTTACCTGTTCTGCCCCTGCTGCCCGCCCACTGTAGCAGGTTCCCAGGCCCTGAAGGGATTGGCCACCCTTCACCTGCTGCATCCATGGTGGGGGTCATCTCCTAACACTGGAGCTGAACTGTCTCCATCTTCTCCCCCTCATCTGGGGCACCACAGGGGAAGAGGGAGCGAGGACTCTGCTACCCTCGCTGATGTGATAGGTTCCCGTGTCAGCCCTGGGGGTGACAGCCGCCCCAATAATGATAGTTAATGACTTCCGTGGTACCCCCATGCCTGTGCCCACTCCACTGCTGGTGAGCAAGATGTTCATTAAGAGGAGAAGGTTGTAAACAGGAGAAGAAGAGACTGGTGGTAAATAAAGAGGCATTCTCTCGGTGTGGGAGACAAGATATTCCCAGACGGATAGGGGTTAGACCCCATTCTCACCTGTCGCCTGGACCTCCGAGGCATCCCAGAGCTGATCTTGGTTCCACTTAGTTCTGCTGCCAGTGCCCTGACCCCCCCCCCCGCACCAGGACCAGACTCGCAGAGTACAATCGGCTGCTCAGTGCCTTTACTGTGTTTTGTTTTTTTAACTTTTTATTTTGAATTCAGTGAAGATCTGCAGAGCAAGTCAGCTTTGTGGTCAGTCATTCTTCACAGTTCATACGCGTTTTGTTTCATGTCGTTAGCGGCAATTCCCACAGCTCAACGCCATTCATCCCACTTCCTCCCCGTGTGTCCGTCCCATTCCTGTTCCTCCTCCCTTAACCGGTCCTCTCTTCTGAACGCTGACCTTTGACAAATGCTGGTCTTTGGACCTCAAGTGGTTCATTATTCTAAAGGCGTCGGTACCTCTCTAGTGTTATTGTTCCTCCTAGAGACCCTTTCTACTGTTGGGCTGCAAATTGAGTCTGGGGGTTGCTCACTTGCTTTGGAAAGGGACCACCCTTTCTCTGGCGGGGGACTGCCCCCTCTTGCTATTTGCCTTCTTCTTCTCTCTCTGGAGCGCTCATCCTCTCACAGCCCTGCCTTCACTAGGTCCCCCAGCTCAGGGCTCCAAGGCAGAGATCGGCTTGGGAAGGTCATCCGCATGCGTGTCTCTGGCAGTGACATTGTTGTCTTGACAGCGCTGTCTAATGGGTTGTTTGCCTCTTGTCTTCCTGTGATCCTGGAGATAATCAAACATCAATCACCACTTCAGCAAAGCTTCTCCCCAGTGTGCTGGGGGTAACAAAGCCTCGGCATCATTTGCTTCTGCCGGACTCAGGCCTCTGGGCTGAGAAAGCAAACCTCTTGACCCAGAGGCCTTATGAGAAAAGATAAATGGCCCAGCTGAGTAAACGCTTAAACAGAGCTTAGCACCCAGTTCCATTTCCAGCCATTGCAGCCACCTGTTTCTCATTAGATCGGTGGAAGATGCCATCCTGGTATTAACCCCAGCCACTCACCACCATCTGTGGTGCCTTGTGTGTTGCTGCGTGCTAGACGTTTGGCCACACCTCTATTGTGCTCTTAACTGATGTTTTAAGATTTAGGAGATATTAGAAGGAGCTCTGGTAGCATCGTGGTTACAAATCGGGCTGCAAACCTCAAGGTCGGCAGTTCGAAACTACCAGCTGTTCCGTGGGAGAAAGATGAGGCTTTCTGCTCCCGTAAAGATTTGCAGCCTCGGAAACCCTGTACAGGGTCGTTATGGGTCGGAACTGACTCCACGGTACTTAACAACAGCAGAATGGACTCCAGAGTCCCGGTGTGGCGCTGTGGGCTAATGCGTCAGACTGCAAAGTCATTTGAACTGTAAGGTCAGTGGTTCAAGCTCACCAGCTGCTCCTCGGAAGCCCTTTACAGGGTCACTGTGGGTTGAAATCGACTCGACGGCACGTCACAACAACAGAATGGACCCGGTTGGCAGTTAAAACCTACCAGCTGCTCCTCGGAAACCCTATGAATGAGTCAGAACCAACTCAACAGCACTTAACAACAACAACAACAACAATGACAGAATGGGACCACCACCCATCTGTCAGTCAGTCGGTGGTACCGTGATGACTGGAGTGTTGCCAAGATGCTGGAAGCTTGGTCCTTGGGATTTCAAATCTCAGCAGGGTCACCCACGGCCGACAGATTCAGCAGAGCTTCTAGACTCAGATGAAAGGCTGAGAAAACACACTTCTAAAAATGAGCTAGAGAAAACCCTGTGGATCATAACGGAATAATAACAGTGCGCGATACAGGGCTGGAAGGCAAGCCTCCCCCCACCCCCAGGGTAGGAGGCAATCAAGACACACAGTAGCCATGATGGCCTCAACGATCATGAAGACTGAGAGAGCAGTGGCCCCTTCTGTGGTGTGGGAAGATCACGATTAATTTGAGATGGCTTCTGGACAAACCCGAGGTGGCGGGCAGCGTGGCCTGAGCAGAGCGATGGGGCAGATTTGGGCAGCTCCAGGGCCTTGGCCACTGCCTGGGAACACAGGCTGGATTCCATGAAGGGTGAGTTTTCTCTGACCCAGGCTCACCCCGGGTAATTTTTTTTCTAGAACTATCCCACAGATGTGAGCACAAGACTTCTCAGTCCGCGGGGCTGCCTTTTCATCCCGCCTTTGAAAAGTAGCCGAGTGGCCCTGCCCCCCCCCCACCTCCTTTCCCACACTGCCCAAGGTCCTCCCCCTTGCAGCCTGGGGTTCCGCTTTTCCAAGGGAGCCAACTAGCTAACTTGGGCTCCAGGAAGACAAAGAGGAAAAATGAGTACCAAAGGGACCGGAAAATCATAAATAAATGTGCTGAGCCGGAAACGTTCATGTGCTTAA